CTCAGTTTATTTGTCAATCCTTCTGTAATCGTAACAGTTCTTTTCTTGAATTCCTTAACTATTGTTAAGGGTGAGGTTCGGCACCATGTGGCGAAGAGAAATGTTGGTACGAGTCTGATTTAATCGCGTCTTCGCCATAYTTTAATAGACTTCTGAACCTTTTACGTCACTACTTGATCTTCAATGCATTGTGGGATCAGTTTCAAGAGAAAACAAAAGAAATCCGCCATGTTTTGTCCCAAACATGTCCTACAATGCATTGCGTATACGGTACATGACGTAAAAGCTGCAGAGGTCTATTACAATCATCTACAATCAGTCCATGTGCTTTTACATACAGTATCCCATAATAATATAACAACAGGGAGCCCAATATATCGTGGCGATTACGCGACAAGAGTAAAGGAATACGGTTATTGGGCGCACGAACATTAGGTGTGAGAGCAGTATTACGATCAATGCGAGAGACAACGCAAAAAACGAAAAGTGCCAGGATCGTTATCAGAATGAAAAACAACTTTGACTAGTACGAACGTTTATTAGAAAAAAGAGGTCCGTCCTTAAAGATGTGAGAAGTGTTAGTTTCAGAAGTGAGTTGTAATCATGACTGTAACAAATATTGAGTGCGAACAATGATACTCGTTCTAGCAGCGGTTAGTCCAACCAATGGTTATGAAAACCGGCGAACTTCAAAGGGGCCATCTATTTTAATGTTGGACTGGCGTGTGCAGTGACCGTGAACCTGCACGCTCTCAGAGCCAAGATGGCGGAAGTCCACAGTTCTGAATTTGGACCCGATCATTTGATATTTAAAATACTTAAGCTCTACGCTTAAAAGAGAAATATACTCGTTCAAGTTACGAATGACCAGGTCCCAAATTCAGAACTATGGACTATTGTATTTAGAATACTTAACCTCTACGCTTAAAAGAGAAATAGGCTAGACTTTAGAATATCTCAACACTTTTAAGCACACTAAAATGCTATAAAATTTTACACCGAATCTTATGACGTCAATTATATATAAGCATTTCAAGAAAGGTTGTCGGAAAAAATGTCGAATGGCAATTGTCAAATGGCAATTGCACGACCGAAAGAAGTCATGGGTTTTGCCAATCAATGTGAAATAATAACTGATTTATACTTAACAATTAGACCTCGAGGTCGAGTGGACTACGAGCTAATAGCCCATGAGGCCGAGTCCGCGAGGMYGRRTGGGCTATTAGCWCGTAGTMCACGAGGTCGAGAGGTCTAATTKTTTTAGTATAAAAAATAATGGTCAAATAATGAAAACAAATTGAAACATCCTTAAAAATAATTTATAATTTATAATTTATTTATTTTGATTTTCCCGCGAGTGGTCTATCACAAATTAGACCATTAGCAGAGTAGCCAATCACAGCGCAGTATGAGTGATAGACCATYAATACGTTGAAACTAATATAAGATAGTCTATGGTAACCACTGGCTACATTTAGTCCCCACTTTTAATAAACAAGGCTAACTCAACAAGTGAAATTGTGTAAATTAATTTTGTAACAATGCAGCCATAGTCCTGTGGTCATGCAATCGCCGCTCGACAATCACCGTTCGCCGTTAACCCCGACAACGCTTTTTGAAAATAGTGTAAAACGCGCTATCTTCAGTAATTTAAAGCGCAACTTACACGAAAAACTGTTGGATTGCATAATGATTTCTCGTTCTCAAAACGCTTTTACACCGAAGTTTATGCCCTGAATTATAACGCGAAATCTAATTTTTGGCTTTCATGTTACATCATAGTCAAGCAAGAAAAATTGAAAAATCCAAGAGATTTTTTCTAAAGAGCTTATCTTACAGTCTATCTTTTAAAAATATACTTCAATCTGTATGCAAATTTCCATACGAATTCAACGCCTTGGTGGCGAAACACAAACGTTTAAGTTCGTGCGGAGTTTAATTTATTCTATCAGTTTTAGATCGTAAATAAAAACTTCGATATTGTATAAATCATTCTTTCAGCTCCGTAAGAACATACTTAACGTGATTTTTCTTTGAAATAAATACATCATCGATCACAAGTGACAAAGGAAACCAGTTTTTGAAGCCAATTTGAAATCACCCAAAGTTGACATCCAAATACGGCGTCCTCATACAATTAATAAACCAAATATTTAAATATTTATTTGCCTATATTTTCATCAGAAAGAAAGTGACAGGAATTTAACCTCGTATTCTAGATAATCTGACTATGTTCTTTATGACTTGCTACTTGGTTTTTGAAAATGACGACTATTAAATTTTTACTTCGGGGCCTCAAATCCAAGAATTAGTTCAAGCGTAATTTACACGAAAAACATTGCATGATGCGTTCTCGTTATCAAAACACTTAATGAATCTTATGCCGCGAATAATAACGCGCTTCATCATATAATTATCTATGGAATACCTATAWTTCTCCATTTCGTAAACTTGATATCTTCACTAGTGAAAATAACATGTTATTTTCACTGTTGAAAATAACACATTCGAGGTTTCTCTATATAGTGGAAGTAAGAAAAAAGTTATTTTTACAACATAATTTGCTTTTATGTACAATTATATGATAAATAGAATATTACATATTCGCTTGGAGATACGAATTTTGTCTTCTCGTGTTGAAAATCTCTGACTCTCTCGCTACGCTCACTCTTGAGAGATCTTTTTAACACTCGAAGATAAAATCCGTATCTCCTATGTAATATCCTCTATGTCTTTAATAAGTTCAACTGTAGCTTACACGAAAAACAGTTTGACCGCATGATGGTTTCTCGTTCTAAAAACACTTTTTCACTGAATCTTATGCCCTCAAGGTGACACATTTAACAAATTTTAAGATTTTCAGTGTCTCGCCGCCGACCACGGCGACAGTTCTTTTTATACTTCAAATATTCAATCGCTTTTCACTGCGGCACGACGGACAACAGTGACCTACATAATTTGCTTAAACTCTTCTAAATTATATTATTATAATAATGACTAGGAAAAATGTTGAGTGCGAACAATGATCGATACTCGTTCTAGCAGCGGCGAGCTGCAAGTCCAACCAATCATATGAAATCCGGTGAGCTTCAAAGGGGCCATCTATTTTTGATTTTGATGTTGGACTGCCGTGTGCAGTGACTTTGAASCAGCATCCTCTCAGAGACAAGATGGCGGAAGCCCAAAACATCAGCGAGTTGTTCATAACTGGAGACGATTTTGATGCGATTTTTGAGATATACTTAACCTCTACGTTTAAAAGAGTAATAGGCTAGACTGTAGRATACCCCAACACTCGCGGCGAGGAAAAAGGGAATGATAAACCKTATTGATAAACCAACGCAATAAAAACATGAAATGGGAACAGATAAATGGGAATTCAAAGCTTGCACACCACGACAATCTCCGTTCTTCTCCGCGAAGTGGCGACATCGAGCTGCGAACAACAAGTGGAATCTAAAAACTCGCATCAAAATCGTCTTCAGTTATGAACAACTTGTTGATGTTTTSAGCGTCCGCCATCTTGGCTCTGAGAGGGTGCTATTTCATGGTCACTGCACACGGCAGGCCAATATCAAAATCAAAAAWAGATGGCCCCTTTGAACAAGTTCACCGGCTTTCATAACCATTGGTTGGACTTGCAGCTCGCCGCTGCTAGAGCGAGTATCGATCATTGTTCGCACTCAACATTTGTCCTAGTCATGATTATAATAATATAACTTATGAAGAGTTTATTTAAACAAATCATGTATGGCACCGTGGTCCGCGTTGCCGCAGTGAAAGCCATTGGATATTTGAAGTATAAAAAGAAATGGCGCGTGGTCGGTGGCGAGACAGTGAAAATATTATTGGAATTTGTTAAGTGTGTCACCTTCAGGGCTTGATTCAGAGAAAAAGTGTCGTAAGAACGGGAAACCATCATTCAGTCAAACTTTTTTTCGTGTAAGCTACAATTGAACTTATTAAAGACATGCCAGCGCCTTATTATTCGTGGATAAGACTCATYGAAAAGTGTTTTGATAGCGAAAAAGCATCAKGCAATCGAAATGTTTTTCGTGTAAGATACGTCTGAACTAATTTTCAGGTTTGAGCCCCCGAAGTAAAAATTCATTAGTCGTTATTTCCAAAAAAAACAAGTAGCAAGTCATAAAGAACATAGTCAGATTATCTAGAATACGAGCTTAAATTCCTGCAGCTTACTTTCTGATGAAAATATAAGCAAATCAATATTTAAAATATTTGGTTGATCTTGTATAGGGACGCCATCTTGGATGGTAACTTTGATCATCCAAGTTGGCGGATGATTAAAAACTGGTTWCCTTTGYAAATTTTGATCGATAATGGATTTATTTCAAAGAAAAATTACCTTAAGTAATAAGTTGTTACGGAGTTGAAAGATTGATTTATACTAAATCGAAGTGTTTATTTACGATCTAAAACTCAGGGTAGAATAAATTAAACTCCGCATTAACTTAAACTATGGTGTTTCAGATCAATTTCAAAAATCGCATCAAAATTGTCTCCAGTTATGATCAACTCGCTGATGTTTTGAGCGTCAAGGTGATTGCACACGGCAGTCCAACATCAAGGCGCACCTTTGAAGTTCRCCGACTTTCATAACCATTCCACTCTTCTAACTTTGCTTTCGAAGAAGTGGACATTTAACCCTTCCAAAACACACTAAAACAGCATCAAAATCGAAAATAACCCCTCAAGAAATATCCATAAACTATTGGAACATCTTAATGAAGTATTTTGATATTTCAAGCTTGCGACCTTACATGCAGCAATGTATGTATTTGTATATCGGTTGTCACCYAAAAAAGGAAATAACGCAAATAGACACTTCTATACAGCCACAGGGCGTCCTGGTACATCACATTTACATCCTGTTCCACTCGTTGTGGGCGCGGATTATGTCACTGCTCTATTGCTAACTATTGGATAACAAAACCTATGACGTACAATAGTCATGGGATATAAGCATATGTTTCARTCAACAATCACGCACTACATCGTTTTAGTCGAAAATGGCGCTTCCTGCAGTTCAAGGTTCTTCCCTGCCTGAGAGCATATGTGGCGTGAAGGATGAACGAGTGCAAGTAGATCCAACAACTTCTCCTCCATACCAATGGATTTGCTATCTATTAATAGAAAGCGATGGTAAGATGTATAAAGCAAGTGGATTCAAGATCCATCTCCCAGACGTTGGTCGTACTGCCATTGTCACAAGCGGHCATTGCACGTTCGTGAATGGAAAGTACGCTTCCAAGATCACCGTACAGTTCCCAGGAGAACAAGCGGCGATTGAAGTTGGACCAAAGGACCTCTATGCAGCTCCTGAATATAGAAATTCAAGAAGTCCAGAYTATGACTATGGCCTTATTCTCCTTCCAGGATCTGGCAGGTCTGACAATGGCTTCGGTTGGTCGGCAATTGTACCGGATCSAGAGCTGAACAATCGTCTTGTAACCAACTGTGGGTATCCAGGTGATAAGCCAGAAGGAACCATGTGGATCACAGGAGGCAAAATCTCAMGATACACAGCCAACAGCATTTTCTACATGAATGATACGATGGCCGGACAAAGTGGGAGCCCAGTGTACACATGGTATGGTGGGTACTGGACAGTTCTCGCTGTTCACAGTTACGGAGGATGTCCTAACTCCGCTCCACGATTCACAGTCCAGATGATTTACCGTTTTCTGGAATTTATGAATGCCCTGGAGTTAGCATCGTTGAGGTCTGTARAATTTCCCRATGTCTACCTTCGATGTGACGGCRCAGGAGTAACGAGCTTTTCATCTGATGGAGGTGGAACTGTCAACTGCCAGTACAMAYCACCMWYGCTTTGGSAGARMTTCTACATATACCCTGTGGAAGTTGCTCCTTCGTCGGCCCTCCATAGTAGCACGAAAGTGGTGCTRGAAAGTGCAMAGTTCAGGAATGTGTTCATCCGCATGAACAGYAARGGTATGGATGAAWRSGAAGAGCCTGGRGGAGGTGAGGTGAACTGCCAGTATTCTWCTCCAAGCACYTGGGAATCGTATTTTSTCAGARRAGAGCCKRATGGCAGCTACTCGTTTCGAAATGTTAAGTTTCCTCACTGCTATATTCGCTTAGACGGGAACGGAGTTGAAGCACGGTTACCTTTTGGTGGCGGCAYAGTCAACTGTCAGTATTATTCTGATCCATCTTCTCCAGCATCAACATGGGAAAGTTATCACAAAGAAGTTCATTAGCTACAACTGGTCAGGTGTGTCTCATAACAACTGTGGCTCGTGATGRCAATTTTATTKTARCATGWATGGATTTATTAGCCAACAGTAACTTGTAGTCCTTTTTAGTTAAACAACAAAGCCAGAGCTTGAAACATTGTTAATTATTTGTAATGGACACTRTAATTTTAAACTGTGCCAATTTTCAATGCTTATGTGCTCCYTCGGAGCTTTATTTCTAATAGGTGGTAATTTTGTTTTTGTTTTTTGTTTTGCTGTCACTTGTATTAAATAACTAAGTACAACAAAGTAACCACGTCTAGACCCTTGTGGATTTGATAAAGTAGTAACCTTGTAACTGATATCTTTTATGATCAGGAATTTCCGCATTTCAATCATTTCCCTGTAGTTTTTTAAACAAAGACAGAAATAAATCGTTTCATTTAAAATTTATTCGGCTTAGCTTTTGTCCTTGTACAACTTTCATATTGCTTATAAAACTTATTTATAATGCATGAACTACTACTCCAATAATAAGTGCTGTCCATTTAATCAGGTGATTGACCTTGTAAATCCGATACAACACTAGTGTTGTGAATTAGATGTATCGGATTTACAACACGGTCTTCGGCATTGAGACAGCCCAACACAAGCAAAGATCTCACTTTTAGTGTCGCATCATAGACCTTCACTAGGCTTTCAAGCAGTCAAATACAGGTAACAGAACTCCCTTATGCAACAGATGGCTTGCTTTCCATCTGGGATGAATATTTATTAAGAATGTTCTTTTTTAATCACACTACAATGCTATAAAAGTTTWCAYCGAATTTATGACGTTAATTATTTAACGCGCTATCTTCAGTTAGGCATAACTTGTACGAAAAACAGGTGGATTGCATGATGATTTCTCATTCTCAAAACGCTTTTACACCGAATTTTATGCCCTGAATTATAACGCGCTATCTAATTCTTGGCTTTCATGTTACGTCATAGTCAAGCAAAAARCTCGAAAAATCCAAGATTTGTTTTTTCTAAAGAGCTTATCTTACAGTCTATCTTTTAAAAATATACTTCAATCTGTATGCAAATATATGCATACGAATTAAACGCCTTGGTGGCGAAACACAAAAGTTTTAGCTGGTGCGGAATTTAATTTATTCTACCAGTTTTAGATCGTAAATAAAACCAGAGTATGACGTAATTTCCTTTTTCCGTAAAGAAAATTCGATATTGTATAAATCATTCTTTCAACTCCGTAAGAACGTACATAAGGTAATTTTTNTTTTTTCTTCCAATACAATCCTTTTTGAGCTATCTTTAAATTATGGTGAATACTTATCGAGCATTTCTAAGCTGTCATTAGACTATGCTTGCCGTCCTCATGAGTAACCAGTTGAGTCAACCACTTCCCTCGCCGTTCATACATCAAATCCAAGTGCTTTAAGTAGCATTTTCGGTGGAGCTAACATCAGCAAAATATCCGACTGTCCGTTCAAAATTTTCAAAGGTACAGTCAAGATCCAACAACGGAAAAATCGAGAGTGACGAGGAAAGTTGAACATTCGCTAAAATCACTGCAAGGTCTGCACGTGTTGACGTTTTCAATCGTCTTAATTTTGACGTATTTTCCAACTATTTTTACAAACTTTTGGATGTTCTGAAACTTTTTAAGCTAAATATACCGTATTTTGTGGAATAAAAACGGTTTTGTGACATAAATTGTGCTATATTAAACACATTTTCAAACAAATTGTTGTATTTTTTCGGCACTGGACATGACATTGAATGAACAAATGCGCGCGCAAGAGGAAGTGTTAAATCACTTCCGTTCTTTTATTTTGTTTACGTTATATATTTTATATTTTTTTTATTAAGAGAGCCATATAATAAATAACTTATTAACCTCGTCCGTTCGGTCATTACAGGGAAATCTCAGACCTCGGTCTTGTTTGTATGGACCTCGCTATCGCTCGGTCCATACTTCCAAGACCTCGGTCTGAGATTTCCCTGTAATGACCTCACTCTCGGTTAATAAGTAGTATTTATCATATAATTATCTATCAAATACCTATATTTCTCCATTTCGTAAACTTGATATCTTCACTAATGAAAAAAACATGTTATTTTCACTATTGAAAATAACACATTCGAGGTTTCTCTATATAGTGGAAGTATAATTTGCTTTCATATACAATTATATGATAAATAGAATATTACATGTTCGCTTGGAGATACGAATTTTATCTTCTCCTGTTGAAAATCTCTGACTCGTTCGCTAAGCTCACTCGTGAGAGATCTTTTCAACACTCGAAGATAAAATCCGTATCTGCAATGTAATATCCTCTATGTCTTTAATAAGTTCAAGTGTAGCTTACAAGAAAAACAGTTTGACCGCATGATGGTTTCTCGTTCTTAAAACGCTTTTTCACTGAATGTTATGCCCTGAAGGTGACACATTTAACAAATTTTAAGATTTTCAATGTATCGCCGACGACCATCGTCTTCAGTTATGAAGAACTTGTTGATGTTTTCAGCGTCCGCCATCTTGGCTCTGAGAGGGTGCTATTTCATGGTCACTGCACACGGCAGTCCAACATCAAAATCAAAAACAGATGGCCCCTTTGATCAAGTTCACCGGCTTTCATAACCATTGGTTGGACTTACAGCTCACCGCTGCTAGAACGAGTATCGATCATTGTTCGCACTCAACATTTGTCCTTGTCATGATTATAAGAATATAACTTATGAAGAGTTTATTTAAACAAATCATGTAAGGCACCTTGGCCCGCGTTGCCGCAGTGAAAGCCATTGGATATTTGAAGTATAAAAAGAAATGGCGCGTGTTCGGTGGCGAGACAGTGAAAATATTGAAATTTGTTAAGTGTGTCACCTTCAGGGCTTGATTCAGAGAAATATTGTCGTAAGAACGGGAAACCATCATGCAGTCAAACCTTTTTTTCGTGTAAGCTACAATTGAWCTTATTAAAGACATGCCAGCGCCTTATTATTCGTGGATAAGACTCATTGAAAAGTGTTTTGATAGCGAAAAAGCATCAGGCAATCGAAATGTTTTTCGTGTAAGATACGTCTGAACTAATTTTCAGGTTTGAGCCCCCGAAGTAAAAATTCATTAGTCGTTATTTCCAAAAGAAAACAAGTAGCAAGTCATAAAGAACATAGTCAGATTATCTAGGATACGAGCTTAAATTCCTGCAGCTTACTTTCTGATGAAAATATAAGCAAATCAATATTTAGAATTTTGGTTGATTTGTATGGGGACGCCATCTTGGATGGTAACTTTGATCATCCAAGTTGGCGGATGATTAAAAACTGGTTTCCTTTGTAAATTTTGATCTATAATGGATTTATTTCAAAGAAAAATTACCTTAAGTAATAAGTTGTTGCGGAGTTGAAAGATTGATTTATACTAAATCGAAGTGTTTATTTACGATCTAAAACTCGGRGTAGAATAAATTAAACTCCGCATCAACTTAAACTATGGTGTTTCCGATCAATTTCAAAAATCGCATCAAAATCGTCTCCAGTTATGAACAACTCGCTGATGTTTTGAGCGTCAAGGTGATTGCACACGGCAGTCCAACATCAAGGCGCACCTTTGAAGTTCGCCGACTTTCATAACCGTTCCACTCTTCTAACTTTGCTTTCGAGGAAGTGGAAATTTTACCTTTCCAAAACACACTAAAACAGCATCAAAATCGAAAATAACCCCTMAAGAAATATCCATAAACTATTGAAACATCTTAATGAAGTGTTGTGATATTTCAAGCTTGCGACCTTACATGCAGCAATGTATGTGTTGTAGTTCAGGTTCAATATATTTTTGAACCAGTTTAATCTCATTTGTTCCAGTTCAAGACTTCTTGTACTGGTCTTTTTTTGCTTTGGCATTCTTAAAAGAACTAAAATGAACTATATCCCATCTCATTCTCTCCCATTTTCTATCTATCATCTTATTTTCTACCTTCTACTATTACCTACTTTATCTTACCTTATACCCTACAGAAATATTGATATTTTCTATATTTTTAATTTATGAATAACACTTACCTTCATCAGGGTTTGAACCACTGAACTCTTGCTTGATAGTCCACAGTACTACCAATTAATCCATTAAGGATTTTGTTG